GTAGTATAAACATCACATATCTTATATATGTTATTATTATTATTTGCAAATATTATAGATATAATAAATCATCTAATGGTTCATCTGAGTCACATGCTTATATACGGGCACTACCCGTCGTATGTAATATTTTATAATTAATTGTACAATATGCGATTTCAAGATAAAACAAAATTTCTATATATTATCTGGAAGTCTCCTCCTTTGAATCCCTCTAAAAACACCGATGGCTTCATACTATTAGTTCCTATTGCCGAACAACGTACCTAAACAGATATATTATAGAAATACTATACAAGCGGACTTATCCAACTACATATATTTTGTACGTCATAAACTCATAACTCTTGATTGATGGTATATGTATTTCAGGTTATCATCAAAATCATTTTTCTTATTACAATATGCACATGCCTATACCTGATATGGTTAAGGTTAAACTCTAATAAGAAAAAAAATTTTTAAACTAAGATTCTAGATAATTTAAACTCGTTTTAACTGTGTGCACAGATAATTTAATATTACTTGTATAAGTTCTAACTAATGAATACAAATATGCAATATTTATTTTCCAATTTTATTGATTAGAAACACGAACGTTGGATACTCATGGTTGCGCTCATTTCGATATCGTATTTTCTTATCTATAATCTTCGTTAGATTTCGTATCCTTAATAATTCTTGCAGTTAATATGCAACAACTTTCAGTTTTCACCTAAACGATTCACTATTTGCTCTTCCAGTACCTATAATGTAGTAAAATTGTATTCATTACACACATGTTATGTAATAACTGTTATAGTCTTATAAAAATTCAAGAGCAACCATAATGTGGTGTGGATATACGATACCTATAATCTATATATTATTATATATTATATCAATATCCTTCTAACTTTTCTAACTTTTACAACTGTTACAATATTATATTGATTTACAGTTTGTGTTTGAAGTGTCCTCTGCTAGAGATAGGTACATGTTTAATTTATAACTATTGCAACATTTGTAACGTCCATACCAAATAATAACTGATAATATTATGTTTTCCATTTGTTTGGGAGACTGCAGTACAATAGTTAAAAACGTTAAAAGTTTCATATGTATCATAATATTTTGGATTAGTTTGATCAGGAGTTTTATTTATTTTAACATTTTTGCGATTTCGTGAGAAAACCGCCTTAAAATTGCGAAAGAAAATGTTTGTAGAAACTTGACGCCAAACTCGTTTCGCGATATCGTTCGACACACTACCTACGTCCTACTTTTATTGTTTCGTTTAATAATTGGTACAGAATTATGCGGCATGTTATACTTCATGGCCACCGCACTGTGTTCTATTTATAGAAATAAATGGTACCCCAGGTACACAATGCAGTAGCACCCCATTTCCATTAACATTTAACAACATAAGCTTATAAGGCGTTAGATGAGTTAAATAAATATGTTTAATGGTCTCGCACAATACCTAAAAAAAACCCTCCTCGCAATAATATATGTCAAAATCTTAAGGCCTCGAAACGAGTCTTATCATAGACACGTTTATACAATTTAAGGTCCTCAAAATTTTGGGTAGTTTCTACAGTGTAATAACGTAAAAATAAAATAAATATAAATAAGGCTCCTGTCTATAATTAGATTAAAATCAGATGTTCAATTTAAGTATCTATATGATTCACTACACTTATAAGTGCTGGAGAATAATACCAGATGCAAATATTATAAATACACTATTTTATTTTCCTCCAGGAGTTCGGAGGGTTCTCGAGGTCGTGAATTCGAGAATTTAATCAAATACATAGTACAATATAATTGTATGTACCTAAGACGTGCATATAATATAATACAGTCAATATAATATATTTTGTATTAAATGCCTTACCCGACTCACAGCTGCCTCTGGCTTATGCCGTAACCTGTGAAAGCTTTAGATGACACGGATTAATTACTCAAAATAAGCATATCGAAATAATGAACAATACACTGATTTTGCTCGTCACAAGGAGTTCAGTAGAATTCGGTATTCAGAGGTTTTTGCTGCTAAGGCTGGTGCTCATTCGCTGTCTAAGGGACTACACGATTATGCTGACCAGAGAGTGGTAGGCTGCTTTATCAAAGGATTTTACTGCGCATCCGAGAGGTAGATTTCTCTTCGGTAGTAACGACCTTTTTTTACCATATCCTTTTCTCTGGTGGCTTGTAAGAAAGTCACACACTCTACGCTTTACCGTTATCTGTGACAATAGTTTTACTGTAGTCTGGATTTCCGATTTCTAAGTGTGATAGTTGTTTATTAGTATGTTACATTTTATTTTATTTCTTTAATGATGTGTGGGCATAGCATTACAATAGTAAGGCCTCTCTCGCTAAAGATGTCTTCTGATTCGGGGCCTGAGTTTTTTTTAGAATACATACCAATTGCGGCCCAAGTTTGTGACGTACCGAATAGCTGGAAACTCGATTTGCTGACACATAAAATATATATAGTTAAAAATTATGAAGATTACAATATAAGTAAATTGTTTACGAAAATCACGAATTAAAAATTTCAAGAATCCATGTATAAACTGTTTTAATCCCATGCATCAGTATTCAAGATGAAAACCTTTATTCTATTTCAGTTGATCGGGCTCCACTTTCTTTGGTCTACCTCGCGAGTACTCTAAAAAACTAATTAGTATCAAAATATGTACTAGTTACAAATATAAAAATAATACATATATTTATTGTATATTATGGAATTTTGTATTTGTTTCCCATTTTTACATACCGTCTGTAGTATTATAAATCATTATTACTACAGCCAGGTTAAAAACTTTCCTCTGCAGTCTTTATTTTTAAATTCTAGTCATATATTTATAGATTCTGAGCGTATAGCTACTAACTATGAATGCATTAATGCAGGTATTGATTTTACAATAACTTATGTTTTTTTTGTGTCTGGAAACACTTTTTCTAGTAGAAAATTGGTATTATCATCAACTTGGATAGTAGAGGTTTCTGATGGAAAATAATTGGATCTAGTTGGTACTTTTCAGAGGTCAAAATTCAAAATTCTCAGTAATTTTAAAAACAGTTGGGGAAAAAAGTATAAAACTGTTTGGTTACCTTAAAGTTATGTTCTTCTCTTTAAAAATAGTTTTCGATTAATTATTTTAGTTTTATTTCTATAAATTGTCAAATGTTGATTAAAAATTATTCGTTCGGCCCAAATACTTAAAAATGTAATACAAGGTTCCTCTAATAAGTATATAGTTCATACTAATCAATGCCTACATAGTAGGTATAAAACATAGTCCCTTCTCGTTGTCTGTCTGTCCCTATTACAGCTTAGATCTTTAAAACTACTCAACGGATTTTTATGTCGTTTTTTATTGATAGATTGATTCGAAAGAAAGGTTTATATGTATATAACAATAACATGCATAATATAATAGAGAAACACTGATAATTTTAAAGGTTTCAAATGTGATATCTTAAATAAACACATTTTTTTACGCTTACAATGCAAACGCTGGCTGAACCCTACGAGATATATCAAAATAATGTGTACAGTATTGTACCTATAAAGTATAAATAGTATAATATACAATTAAATAAATAAAATAAAATATACAATAAAAATAAAAATAAAACAAAATAGGGATATAAGTAAAAAAATAAACATTCGACGGCGACTACAACACAAATATATACGTAGGGAAAGACAGTGGAAAGCGACTTTGTTTTATACTATGTAGTGATTCTGTAGTATTTAGTATCAGCATTGCACCCGCGAGGAGCCGGGGCGGGTTGCGAGTATATTATAACCAAAAAATTCACTGATCATTTTAGAATAATAGGAAGATATATGCAAACGCAATGTTTTTGCAGAAGTGAATTCAACCAATAATATTATTACTAATAGCAATCTAATATTAATATAATATATCCTAGACGCATTGTCTCCACTCAGTATCATTTTATTTTGAATCACATTGAATCACAATGATTTGCGTTGAATTAAAATTTAACATATTATTCAACACTATTACAGTTCCACGCCGAAATGTACAGCAGAACAGTACCCAGTACCGATTTACCCACCTTTTTTAAAAACTAATATTACGTCAATGTCACTAGTAAAAACTTGTTTGATATTTTTTTTTATAAATTATAATTTATTAATTTGTAACTGTCATTATTGTCAACAATAATTATATAATACGTTAGACTTGTTTTAATGATGAACAATAAAACGTTAATATATTGTATTGTGACAATAATATATTTTAAACCTGATTATTTGCCGGCTATCGTTATTATTTAACGGGTAACGAAATATTCTAAGGTCCTATGAATGTATGATAGAAACATCTTAAAATGGTAAATACTTATCTGGCCACAACTCGGATATGATGCAAAAAGACTCGGATATAAGTACCAAAAACCGGGTTGTGATTTTGGTTATACCTTTTTTTGTAGTTATCTTAGTGTATGGAGCCAACATTTCATTTATGACATTCACTATTCACATTTTATTTTATTTTCACGAATATCTTATTAATATAGGTACGTTTAGTTAAATTGTAAAATTATTAATGTCACGTACAGTAAAAGTAAAATGCATCATTGGTATTACTCAGTAACTCGATTTTAGGTACTTTGAACATCGACACCCAGTCGTGTTACTCACAGTTTGGCACTCGGAGCAATTGACCCCTAAGACCTCACTCCCACCCTTAAAATATAGGCACCAATGCCACCATGTGTTATTGTCTGATTCCCCGGGCAGCTGGACATTTCTCTTAATTTTAAATTGGATAATATTTTTACCTACTTATATTAAAACCAAAAAACTCCACTATAACAAAAACGCGAATGCTGCGCAATGTGTACCTATTAGCCTTGACGTCCTGCAACACGAAACTTGTCCCCAGCATCATACTCACGAAGAACTGTACCGGTTTTGAAACGGTATACATATATATGTGACACAGTATACACCACTTGTATCAAGTTGACCTAGACCCGTTTGAGCAGACACCACGCAGTAAAACCATTCCAGAATAAGTTGTCATGGAGTTTGCGATCATGCTCTACAGGTGTTTGTTCATTCGTTCTATTAGTACCGCCGCCGACTCATTGACCGTTGCCGCTCTGCCAGCGGATCGCCGCTGAGATCATCAAAGCACACTTGAAGTATTCGGTAAGTCACATAACTGTGTTTTTTTTTAATCTTAAATTAATACATTATAATATAATATAAGTCATCACCTGCAGGTGTTCTTTCGATTTAATAATAATGCTACCGTTGCTACTAATTTTTATAATATAAAGGTAACACAAAAAGGGTGAACGTTAATTTAAACTGCAATAAACCAATTTTTTTATAAAGAAACAAAATCACAAACATAAGTATTAGTCTACAATGAATTGTTTGCGAAGTACTATATGAATCAATAAATATTTATGAAACAATAAATATTATTGCATGAATTCAAATATAAAAGCTTATATTATGCATCAATGTTTAAAAATAGTAGGACTGGCTTGATAATAGTAATTACTTATTAGGTAAATATTTTAGGTATAGTATTATTTTTAACACAAATAACTATAAATGCATATAATATAGTAAAATATAGTAAATTGAAAGTTAAAGTATCATTAGTAAACTTTAAAAAATGTCTTTATTATTAAACATTCAATACTAATCATTTATCAGAAGTTTGAATTGTATGATTACGTCCAAGAAGTTGCTATTTTGATTCGTTAGTCATAAACTATTAGATATTTTCAAAAATGTGATTCTTATATTGTTTCTTAACCTATTTTGGTTGCCTAATGATTTCGAGTGGAACTTTTTAAGTCATGGCCATATTCGTATGAATATTAATAGCTTATTTTATTTCTACAGATCTTAATGTTTCAAATTTAAAAGCGTTATTTTCAAAATATATCGTTTAGGTAATAATTTATAATATACATACAAATTGATCCTTTCATAGGATTATTAAAATTTTTAAAATTTTCAAAACTTTATAAAAAATTGGAATATAATATAAATTATAATTTATAACTCAGGTTTTAACAGTATAAATATTTCAAATCTATTAAGAATTTTAGAAAATAAATGTTGTTAATATGGTAAACCAATGAACATATTTATGCGGACTATTGGAATTGAAATATCAAGACATACATTTATAAACTAGGAAAATTTGCATGTTTTAGATTACATTAGTCATACATATTATAATTCAATGATCAAATCAATAATTTTCATGGAAGTCATCTTTTTAGTTTTTAGTATTATTATGTACCTTTTATTTATTACCTACTTAGCATATTAATACACACATTATTACTTTTATTTTGTACCCACCTACTTGATATTCCGTTATTGAAATCGCCTACTATTAGTACAAGGCTACACTTTCTGAGTTGATTACATTAATAAATTATAATATGTTAATTGGCTACTTTGTTTTTATTTAGATATAAACAATGCATTATGATGAATTAAAATGATGAATTATTATTTATTTTATTCTTAATATTGTGATTTTTACATATACTTACCTACTTATAATTTATAGATATTATTATAATAATAATAATATTTCACTTTTTTTAATACTTGCAATTGAATTTATATAAACTAGGTATATTTAGATATTTTGATATTGAGTTTAACATGCCAAACTCTTATAGTAATTACTAATTAATAATATATCAAATTTATTGAACTATTAACATTGTATAGTGTAGGTTTATGAAGACAGTCTAACATCCGTATTATTTGCTAAATATTATATTAATTTATTAATATTTAAGCCGAATAAACTTTTATGTGTATGTATTAAAAATAAAATATATTCCAATATACCATTTCTTATTAGGTACCGTCGTGGAATTGTTATAGTAGTATCATTTCATAATAATAAAATATTCTATGGATATGTGATTTAAAATATAATTAATTTGTAAATCCTTATAAAAATTGTATGTTCAAGTTGTTTTATTTAAGTGAGACGCTAAACGAAATGAGATTTATTTTTGGGAAAGTACTATGTAGGCAGGGAGCTTAGGGAGATACACATCCCTTTTTTGCTGAACTTTATGTATGCAAGTTCAGAAGATGTGCATTTCCATCATCCTATGATTTATTTTCATAACTCTTAAACCGAGTAAAACACAATCGTAATTCATAGTAGGTGTATATATTGGTTTTTGGGTAGTTTTCATCCAACAGAATAATGTGAAATTCTGCTGGTTTATTCCCATCAATCAGTAAATAATTAAATTACAATTTTACATATGCCGGGCTGCATAAATAATCACTAAATATTTAACTAATCAATAGTGAGGTAATGGCCCTTTAAAAATGATTTAGTGGCCCATGATTGGTCCATGACATTTTACTGGACCGTTAAATTAATACATTTTCATGCAACGCGGCATAAGATTTTTATTTGCTATACAATGTTTATAAGACGTTATTCAATCGATGTTTATTGTAGAATTAAATAATAAATACTAATAGTGAGTATCATTTGAGTGAAAGTTATACATTAATAAATATTATTTCGTTCATAAATATAGGATTGCAATGTGTGGGAGTGCATATTTTATGATTTATTTTTCAAAAAGATGACTACACATTTTATATTGAAAATTCAGTAACTTGTCTTAAAAAATTAATGTGTTATTTTATTATGTAATATAAAAAAATAAATTGACCAATAAGAAAAGTTTAACAAGGTGCACCTATAAAAGTAGTACGATATATACGTCTTAAGTGCATCATACAGTTATTTTATTTTTATAGTTGGTAAATTATATTTGCGATTCAAGATGAGTGGACTATAAACATATCTAACAAATTAAATTAGATTAAATTCAAACTAATTTTATGCTTGGTTTTAAAAAATAGTAACAACTATACATAATTAGTAGAAGTTTAATGTCAATGCCTTCAAAATCGCAAACAATGCTTTGCAATGCGTGTTTCTTATAGATTAAAATAATACATAAAAATGTATTTTTGTTTATATATTCAATATTTTATAGGTATTTATATTATAGGCCTTTTGGTTTGTTAATCCAAAATAATATTTAAAAAATACATAGATATTCATTAGTTGACTGAACTGTAAGCAATTATTACATGCATGATGTGACTCGCTGTGCAGCTATTGTATAAATGTAGAATAAGTTTACAATTGTTTCGTATACAATGGTTTTAATTACTTCTATAAACTTGATAAAAATAAATAAATAAAGTTAAAAAAAAATAAATGATACATCAATGCTGTTAACAATTATTTTTGTCAAAAAGTATCGCTTAAAACTCATTTTTTACTTATACCTATTGAGCTTTGTTATAAACCACCAGAAAAAGTATGAAATGTCTTCAAAATTCCAGCCCTAATAATTAATAATCATCAACCATCCATTTTTTAAAATTAATGAATTGTGTTGAATCATTAAATATTAATTAAAACCACTATGACAACAGAACTTACTATATTAATAATAATTGATTATAAATATTTAAAGACATTGACAATCCTGCATACTCGTATTATACTATTATATATTATTTTAAATATGATAAAATTGAGATGGACTATACAAAAATAACAGTCGAATCATGAGTTGACCAACCAAGCTAACAAACTTATAAATAGTAAACCTTCATTCTGAAATTTGCATAAAATAATATTTACATCTTTGATTATAGTATGTTATTTGTCTTGGATGTACAAATAATGCTGCCATTGTAGTTTGTAAAATACCTCATAACAGTCATAACTATAAATTGCATAGGTATATTATACGAGTTTTCTCAAAATTAGCTCTTATAATCCTATTGCATTATTTTAGTTGGGGTCGTGATGTTGTTGGTCGTCTTTATTATATAAAACACTATATATGACCCACATTGCAAAATGAAAACAAGTTATCTTTAAAAAAAAAAACACATTAATGTTGTTCACTTGTACATAGTATAATATAGTATAGTCACATATATATATTTATCTTATAGACATAAATCGTAGAAGACAAATTGTGAAATAAGAACATATACGATGTAAAAGATTTTGTCTCATAATAGCTACCTACATCTTATATACCGAAATTATTGTGCGTAAATAATATTTTCTTAAAATATTTGTTTTTTTTTTACTCTGTGGCATACCAGTTGTTTTATAAAAGCATTATATTTTTAAGAATGTCTAATTATTAAAAAAATTGACTTTAACATGTTAATCAACCTACAATTAGTAATAAATTGTTATAAATATAGATTCATTTTTTATTTTTATTTTTTACTAGAAGTCCAAAACAAAACATATATGATACATAAACTTTAAATTTGTTAAGAGTCGATTAGCCTACCTACTGTAAGCTTATGCAGCTTGTGTTGAGATATGAAGCTATGAGCATTTAATATGTTATCTCGAAGGCCACCCCATATCAGTAGACCATCATAATATGATAGTCTACTAAGTATATTATATAGTATATATAGTACTACTAACTATGGTCTATAATATTATTATACCAAGTAAAAACATTTTTAGTTTGCTCAGTGATCTTGTGACTTACCAGTAGAAGTAGTGGACACTGGAAAGTTTTGATCCACACATTTATAATACACTTGTATTTTATTTCCCATACTCATTAGAATATGGAAAAATGTGTGAATAACGTGGAAGTTGGATATGCAGATAATATTTTATTTGTTTTCTAGAAAATTGAGAAAAATGATAAGCTAAAAAATGACCTTAAGATATAACTAGTTAAGTTTAATATTTCAAAAATATTGCTTAAACTTTCTTAAAAAAAATTTTTAATTAATTAATTGAGAAATTCATCAAAACACTAAATAATATTCCAATCGAGTTTATAAAAATTTTTACTAAAACTTGATGTTTGATTAAATAAGGTTATTTTAATTATTAGGTAGGTATCATGAAAATGAATTTTAACGTGGCGTGGTTGCTGCAATCAGTCACTCAACGTAATTGAGAGTACGCAACCGTCCACTGCCACTAGTTCCCGGATGGGTGACCACCGTAGAGCTTAGTGGAAAAAAAATACAAGAGTTTTGAACAATTGTACCTACCCTACCGTCACTCCTTAAAATAGTTATGTGGCCCAATGGTCTCGTGGCCGCGGAATATTAGTTAAAAAAAA